TTAAAAATAATTTTCAAAACTATTATTATATTTATAAGTAAAAGATTTATATCAGGACTTTGCTTTAGGAAAGGAGAAGTGGAATTCAAAACCATTAAGAAATAGCAGTCCTTGCCTGAAAAAGAAAAAGAAAAAGAAAAGAAAAAAGAAAAAGAAAAAGAAAAGAAAATGAGAAAAAGAAAAAGATAAGAAAAAATAAAAAAAGTAAGAGAGGAGAAGCTTGAGGATTAGTGCCTAATCAAAAATTGGTTTCACATTTGATTTTTTTTTAAGTATAAGACTTGAGAAACTCTTAAGCTTAAGGATATAATATAATAAGTAAAATTATTCTTAATAATAAATTTTAAGTGGTGATAATAAAAGGACTAAATTCTAAATTTGGAAAATCTACAATATTTCCAAATTAGATAGGAACTCATTTTTTCATCTTTCTTAACATTAAAAATTTCTAAACTTTAAGTTGGTCTCATTTACTAATATTTTTTTCTAAATTGGACTACTATATTTCTAAATCTAAATTTTAGTAACTCCTTAAGAAACTCATATACATATCATACTTATTTAGTTTTTAAAGATTGAAATGTCACTTGAGGACAAGTAACATTTTAAGTTTGGGGGATTTTGATACACCTAAAATATATAGTGTTTTTATACTCATTTTTATACCCATTTTTGAGATATTGCGCTTTAATGGAAGGTATTTGTGTATTTTTCTTTCAGGTACAAGCAAAAAGTTAAAAAATGCTAAAATGAGTGAAAAAGGATCAAATTTGGAGCAAAAATGTGAAATTTGTGCAAAAGTGTTTTGGCACCTAAGCGCCATATCCGGCGCTTAAGCGCCAGGGAAACAGAGAAGGCCGCGCCTAAGTGCCAGAGGCCCCGGGCTTAAGCGCCAGAGGTAGTTATTTGGCAGTTTTCTTCATTTGGCTGAATTTTGAAGAGATATTTAAGGCACCTATTAGCTAAAAATAGTGATTATGACCACTAGGAACAAAAATATACCACTAGGCTAAAAATAGTGATTATGACCACTAGGAACAAAAATATTATTAAAAGACTTGTAAATGGAGGCATCCCTTGGAGAATACATCGAATTTGGACACATTTTGAAGAATTTCCAAGGCACCATTTTGAGATTTATAAAATAAGGAAGTTGAGACATTTGAGATGGGTGCTTGAATAGGGAGAGAGTGTTATGTCTTGAGAAGATCGTGGAGAACCTTGTGGAGAGATTCAAGCACCATAAAAATTTTACTTTTATCATTTTTGTATTTAGTTTTATTTTGAGAGTTTAGAGTGTTGTGAAAGAGAAGAGATTTAAAGGAACATCAAGATTTTGGTGGAGGATTTGAGATAAGTTTTTATCTTCTATTTTGAACTACTTCTAGTTTTAATTGAGATTTCTTGTTGGTTGACAATGATTTCTACTGTTAAACTAAATTGTGGTTTTATTTTTTCCATGGATTCTGAGTAGTTTTCCTTATCTTTCTCCTTAAAAGAATAAGTAATTAAAGTGTTGGATGGAAGATGTGGAGAGTATTGATTTTTAATGTTGGAAGAAGTTGTGATGATTTAAATTCATGTACTTCATTTACTTCTTGATTTGGCCTATCCAGATGTTAAAATTTGTTGTGAGAACATGTAAGAACCGGGCTGGTATTGTCTCAGTCAACAATTGGAAAGAATCACATAAGGTTGTATGAATGAGAAAGTAATTCATATGATTTAGTGCAAATAAATAGGAAAATAATCTTTGAAGGGTATAGAGTTAGAGGGTTTTAAAGTGACAGGTTAAAGCCTCCAACTTGGTTTATTGTTTTAGGTGCTGATACGAAATGTTAGCCCCCAGGTGGAGGGAATCGAGGGAACTCTAGAGTGAGAGCTGATATCTTTCCTGCCTAGTCGGTCTTCAGAACTATTCAAATTTTAAATTAGCCAATGTTCTTTATAACATCTCTAGTAAAGGTAAAGAATATAATTGCTCCTATTTGGCACAACACAATTTGCATACTTCCACAACAGAATTCTTATACTTATTACGGATTCATAATAAGGAGAAAGGTATTTTCATATCAAGTGTTTTTCTTTACATAAACTCAAGTTATCTTTATAAGTTTTTACGTTTTGTCAAAATATCAAAAATACCAAAAAAATTTGAATTTTAATTACTATCAAATTACTATAGTTTAAGTAATTGTCTTTTAAGAATAGAAAGTTTGTTGTTCAATAGTGCATATTGCATAATTTTCCTGTGTGTTCGATATTCAAGTCTTAATCAAAAAGTCATATAGTACTTGAAAATGATACGTATATTTGTGTAGTATCCAAATATATAAACTAAATAGTTAAATTCTTATTTTCTTCATGATCAAGTTTTTTGTTTTATTGCGAAGTAAGGAAATATAAGTGAAAATTATAATTAAAGTCATTATTATACTGTTGCATATAAGCAGTTATCGGGGATCAGGCACCAGCATGAGGAGGGCCACCATATGATAAATGATGTGACACATCATATAATCTTTTGACAATTTTGGGACGCTACGTCATGCACTTGTAGATTGTTTCAGTCATGCTGGGATACACAAAAATTCTAAAAAAAGGTCATGATTTGAGGGCCAATATATAGGAATTTGGTTAAATTCTAAGAGGACGCTGGCATGTTACACCTATGGTGATGTATAGTCCATAATTTCAATTCAGAAAATGAGATTGCACTTTAAAAACAGACACAGTCGGCTCGTTGGGTCATTTTTCGAGCTCACGCAAACCATGAAATGACTCATTATGAGATATAATTTTTATGTGATACAAAAAAATGAGGTGTCAAAAAGTGATGCACCATCATTTGTGAAAGTGGAGGCGGGGGCATGGATTTTCAAAGTGCATAAGAGGAGAGGGTTCAGAAATCATCTTAAAATAGATTTGGTTGTAGAAAATTTATTTGAGTTTTTTAAATAATGAAAAATAAATTATAAAAAAAGGAATTCAAATTTAAGATATTAAAAAAAAATAATCAGCTTTTTTAATTAATGGCTTATGTCCTTTCACACCACGACAACTGCTGCTAATAAAATCATCTCCTCTTTAACCATCACATGACTTAACTTTGGAACAAAAGTGGTTTCTCATTTCTCAAGCAGTTGGACTGTCGTAGATTTGTCCAAGTGCCCGAAGGGAAAATAAGATGAATGAAATGGGGCATGCAAGCCAAAGCCATCAAACTCTGCAATATAATTAACAGTGGCTATGTAGACTCAGCTCGAACAACAATAACAGGAAGAAGATAAAAACACTAGTAGATATACCAAACAGCAAAAAAAAGGGTAAATTGAGAGGCAACTCCTAATTAAGAAGCTCGAAATAGTGGAGACAATGCAACCACATATACGGATATATGCCCGCTGGTGCTCGGAACCTCTGTAGCTATCTTCCTCGAAGCAGAGCCTTCTCAGCGGTGTCAATTTCCTCCAAGATCCTGGCTTTCCGCTTAGCGGGTATTGGAGCGGTTGGACCAAAGTTAATGTAATGGCCGGAGACAGCATTAATGGCGGAGTACACGTCCCGAAATGAAGCCCGACCAAGCAGGGACTTTTCCCTGCGGTACTTTGCCACCCAGGTGTTGGATGCCTGACGAAGCTCCGCCACAGCCGACGTCACGCTAGGATCCTTCTTGTCCATATTGACTGTAGACCTCATTTTGTTTATCACCTCCGCTGTCTCCTTCACATATTCATCGTCTACCTCCGCCGCTGCAAATGCTTGGCCAGGTGCTGGCGCAAAACTAAACAATATCCCTGACGCAGCTACGGAGATTATTACTTCTCGCCGCCCTAAAAAGCCTCTGCTGAAACTGTTAAAGCTTACGGATGCGTTGATTGTAACTTGCTGGGGCTTAGAAGGGATGATAGATGTCGGCTTTGGGGTGGGTGTCGTAAAGCTTAGAGATGTCATCGCCAAGATTGAAGATTGTAACTTGAAGTATATGTAGGCAACAAGATATTACCTTGCTTCCTTTATTTGCTGATCCGATCAAGATAGGCAGGGCAAGGGAAATCCAGATCTCTTTAGAGGGGGGGGGGGGGGGGTTACGAAAGAAGAGGTAACAATCGAAGAGCCGAACAAGCAAGCTTAAAAGGTGCCACGTCGGCTTATCATCTTATCCTACAGACTTGGCCTGAGATGAATGACTGGATTCATCATCCATCATCGATTCACGAACGGCTGTACAGCTAAGGAGAGTGTTCTTCGTCTTTGACGGATGTTAGTGTTTCTTTTTTTATAAATAATCCTAATTCTTCATTAACTTTAGAAGTTATGTGGCGATTAGTATTTTAAAGTTGTGATGTGTGGGAGGGGATATCTCAATTTTCACATGAAAAATTTTGATATGGGAAAAAATCCCATGGAATCTTAACTCAATTGAAATAATCTACTATGAATAATAATTAAACATAAAGATCCTTATAAACATATAACAGTGGTTCGTCGATAATAATCATAATCTAACTATAATGAATGCAGTTCTCAATAATAGTACGCTGCAAGAGTCATAGTCGATTGTTATGGAGGCAATAGTTCGTTGTGAATATTATAGATGGCGGTTGTAGTGTCAACTTGTCGTATAGGTCATAGTAGAAAATTATGGTAGTTGTTGGTTATGTGGATTACGTATGGTTGCTTCAGAGATATTGTTTGGCCACAGAGGTCATAGTGGGAAGCCATAGAAGATGTAAGCCACGCAGGCCACAGTTGATCACATGAGTCATAGTAGTGAGATGTGATGACGGTTGTAGCCTTCAGGGGCCAGATTCAGGAGATGCACTAGCTATGAACCACGGTTGTAGCCTTCAGGGGCCAGATTCAGGAGATGCGCTAGCTATGAACCATGTAGGACATAGTTTCACTTAGGTTGTGGTGGTAAGTTGTGACGACGTCCGTAGGCCGCAGAAGGCGGAGTCGGGAGTTGCATAAGCTGTGAACAGCATAGTCTGTAGTTGGTCACATATGTCATTGTAGTGAGTTGTGATGATATTTGTAGACCACAAAGGTCAGAGTCGGGAGTTGCACGAGCTGTGAATCACGTAAGTCGAAGTTATATGGAGGCAACAGTAACCGGAGTTTGTCGGAGATGGCGCATCCTGAGTTGTATGAAGAAGGCAGCCAGAGTTGGGCGGAGGTGGTGGCCAAAGTTGGATGGAGGTTGCAGCGTCCATAGTTGCCCAGAGGTGGCAGCAACCAGAGTTGGCTGGAGGCTGCATCGTTTGAAGTCTGTTGGAGTCGGCTAGAGTCGATCGAAGTTGGACGAAAGCGACAAAGGTTGAAGGTGCTACTAGCTGATGGAGGTTACAGGTGGTGTTTGCCATTAGCGGCTTCTATAAGAAGCAGCAACGCCCCGAGGTGGTTACTTCAATCGGAGTTGGGTAGAGGCAATGAAGTGAGGTGGAAATGGCTAGAATTGGGTGGAGGACATAGCGGTGGTGGCCTGCAGTGGGGTGGTTGATGGCGGTGGCAGACGGATGCAGCAGTGGAGGGCGGTGGCAGACGGATGCAGCAGTGGCAGACGGATGCAGCGGTGGCTAAAGGCTGAAGTTGGTTGGAGGTTGTGGCATCCATTGTTGACTGTATGCGATGGCAACCAAAAGTTGTGATGATCGGAAATGACGGCCCAATGTGGTGGCAACTGGAGGTGACGACGGTCAGAGCTAGACGGTTGTGACAGTGGTGGCTAGAAGCGGTAGCAGTGAGCGGAGTTGGTCGGATGTGCAGTGCAGAATGTAGGGTTACATCTCTCTTTTCCATAGACTTTGGCTTTCTCCTTGCGCAAGATTTAACTCCCCTTCTAATCAGGTGTAGAGCTCTATTTATAGAGTTCAAGTTGCAAACAAGGAAGGAATATGGAACACTCTTGATCAGACAGCCGAAAGAGACCTCTTTGATTGGTCGGCATTTGATGGATATTTGACTCACTTAGGGTCTATTTAAGGCTGCTGCAGCTTACTAAAAAACAGTTGCAAAGTTGTTGAATAATAAGCTGATGCTTAAAAGATGTAATGGCTATTACAGTTTATTTTTAAGTCATATCGCAACTAGAAAGTTGTCACCTTACCGAGCTAAAAGTGGTGGGAAAATGTAGATTTCAAGAGCAACTTTTTGAAAAAGTTGTCAAAATGTAGTTTACCCAAATACACAAAACTGCAGTGCGGTGCCCTGCCGCCACCCCAAACGAACCCTTAGTGATTTTAAATATGAGTGATCTTGGGCTCGTTAGATTTGTCTTATCGAGATGCTTAATTTGACTATAAGAATGTCATAATCAAAATATGTTTGACCTTCCAATTATGTTTGAAAAGTTTTCAAAAGTGATTGAATAGCATGATTCAGACATCTTGTCGAGCTAATTAGTTTGACTGTAAGTTTGTTGAAATTGGAGCTATGAATGGCTTTTAATCAAATTTTAAATGTTTTCTACTCAAAAATTCACCTTGAAATCCATGAAATGCTTCAAGATTTGTGTTGAATAATGAAAATTTGTGATAGCATATAACCTCCTTTTTTTTACAACTGAGAAATTTCTTCTCAAGCAAATGTTATTTTTTTTTTTGTGCAAGTTGAACACTCAAATGAGGCATATTAAGATTCTTCACTTTATTTATAACCAAAATACTATACATTTAAGCATGCAAACCATTCTTCCTAGTTTTTTAATTGCTCCTAAAAGAATGACCTATGAATGACTTTTACAAACATAGATTTTTTTCTAGTGTTGAGTTCGAGATTACCCGTGAATCACACTTAAGATTATTGAGCATATGTGACGAGAGAGAAAGAAATGAATGTTAATGAATAGTATTATCTCTCCGTAAAATATTTGTGCTATTAATAAAAAAGTTAATACAATAGTGGCATTATATTCCTACCTCCATTTATGGAAAGTGTTTACCGGATATTCTTGATATTTTATAAGTGGTCTTATCATATTATTTGTTTTTGGCTTAACCTACTAAACTTGGCTGATTTGGCTCTGCTCGGTCAACTCAATCAGTTGAGCTTGGTTGGTAGGGTTTGGTCAACTGATCCAGCCTCGTTGACTATCTTTAATCTCTGATGAGGAGTCTTTAGTTCTTTGTTAGAGCATAGGATCTAGCCCTTCCAGTGGGTAGACTCCACAGTGGGAATGGCTATCGCATCAAGTCGGCTTTGTTGTTGTTGATGGCTCATATTGTCTTTTGTTTCATTTCTGGTCACATGACACCTTTTTTACCTCATTTTGGCGAGGTATGTTTCCCTCTCTAGAGCATAGGATCTAGTCATAGGACTTCTCTACTGACTCTCCTAAAAGACTAGTATTGGGATGAGCACCACTTAGAAATTTGAATCGCTTCTTGACTCCTTGTAATCTTACATGTGTGATTTCAAATCTTCAATATTTATTAGATTCAATTGGAGCCAACATATTGAAACTCAAGTTGAGTTCCCATAAGGACTGGAAAATGTCTTAGGAAGGCCACTTTGACTTAGGGGTTTTAATTCTTTGACACACCACAATTCACACACAAGACACACAAACACCATGTACACATATACCACAATCCACAAACAATTCGCTAACCAATATCAAAATCAAATTTAAAATAAAATGAAAGCACTCGTGATACTAATTTGAGACCTATCGATATGTGTTGAGGGACGTGCTGCCAAGTTAGTCCTGTTAGACTTTAGCTCTCACTTAGGAGAAGGCCGATCGGCATTTGTTTGTCAGATGACTTGGATTGGATCGATGAATGTTATTTGTCACGTCACGCGTGAAGTTGGCATAAATTGACCTAGTCGTTGATGAATTTGTCCGGACAACCCCGGATAATGAATTAGACAGTGCGAGCACATTTGGGACGTCAATGTCACCTAGAAAGAACACTCACATTAATATAGTTTTACATACAAACTAGAAATGTGCAAATCAAAGCTTTTAAATATTAAGCATATGTGATCTTCTCCCATATGACACTCATGCGATCAACCCTAACTCATCTACATACAGTCGAAACCCTGGTTGTTCCTCACCCTAAACCCACTAGTCGTCTCTTTTCTTATCGTGCTTTTGTTATGTTGAAGAAATTTGAAGCTCGAGTGCCTTCTTCCAACTTCGACGAGCTCGGGGCTTGATACAATGACAAGTATCGTGAAACTGCATGAAGGTTTGTCGGGTCATGTTATATAGATTAGATATGTTTTATATTATCTGGTTTCCTAATTTTCTATAAGGGCAAACCTAATAGTTAATTACATCTTAAGCGTCTAAAGTCACTTAAGAAAACTCTCGATTAAGATTAGAGGTTTCGTCTTCAAGAATTCAAAATTAAATTTTTACGATTGGTCGTGGGAAAGTCAAGTGAAAAGGGTTCGAGTGGTAACAGTTATTTTGGAGGCCAAATGGGCGAAAAATAGGGGATGTCATAAATTTTGAGGGGTACCTCAATGACTTCCCAAACAATACTATTATTTGGCTTTATTATGTTATTTAAGTGTTTACTCCCACAAATTATTTAAAATTTAGGGCTTACACTTGCATAATATATAATCATGCAAATAGTCTAAGAAGATAGAAGGATTTACATCTTACCGAATGAACAACCTCAAGATCCTAAAAGGAGTTAGGGCTTATGTCACACGACAAAAGATTGTGTGAAAGCCTAAAAATAATGTGAGCATTTACTTCATACGATATGAATAACCTCAAAATCCTAAGGGTTTATGTTCATTAAGACTATGGAAAGTTTAGCCGAGGTTCATCATTCGCTTCATGTTTTGTCTTGATCGTCGACTGAAGTTGTCCTCCGTCTGCTTACATCCTCGTCTTGCTCCCCAGGAAGCTAGCTACAAGCTCCTTACTGTGGTGATTTTGGGTTCTAAAAGTGCGTTTGAAATAACGATTTATTGGTTATTGTTGGGCGTAGAGTTTTGTTGTAAGGTCCCTTCTAAAAAGGTGGCTTACTGTCCTCTACTCTAGGGATCTTTTACGGGTATAGTAAGTAATAGAATAATAATATTGCTTGAACAAACAAAATCTATACGATAAAGCAGAAAGTAGTCGCACATATCACCATTTACAAATGAAGATCCTGTATTGCTTGAACAAACAAAATCTATACGATAAAGCACAGTAAGAGAGAAAGTAGCCGCACATATCACCATTTACAAATGAAGATCCTGCTTGTAAGGCAGAATAAGATTATTAACTCTCTCTCTCTCTCTCTCTCTCTAATGTTATGATCAATCTTTATCCATATAAAAAAGTTTAATGAAAATCATTAGGATTGGCAATGAACTTGAATTCAAATTTTGATTTGTGATTAGAGTGTCATTAAATGAACTCAAGTCACTTAATTTTTAAAAAAAGATTTACGCATATACACCACATAATTCTTATATATTTACACATTTAGCACGCTTAAGTTCTATTATTTATTTATGTAACATTTTAATGTGATAATAAAAAATAAATATTTTTCTTTAAAAAATTAAACAGTTGTGATATCAAAAAAGAAGAGTCGAAAAGAATAACGAGCATCCAAAGTCCTTTTAGGCCTACTTGAACGAATAGGACAGGCAGCATATAACTACATAATACAAGATAGGAATGAAAACGTTGGCTACGCTTTAATTAAAACAGTTGGTTCTTTTGCGAGCTGCAACGTCCGGTCCAGATCGACCGGATAGCAGCTCAACGCCCTCACCACCACCTAGTCCCACTTTAACCAGCAAAGAAACGCCAGCGGCTGCAGCCCTAATCCAAAACTAAACCTACCGACTGCGACAACAAACAAGCTTTTTTTATCTCTAGAGGAAGATGAAGCATTCTAGGGCGACAAGGGGGTTTTCCAGAGATTCCTTGCCCCCGATAGCCGTTCCTGATCCTCCGCATTCCACCATACCCTGCGCTATCGCCCGCTTGCCGCCGCCGACGCCTACGCCGCCGAATCTGCAGCCTTGTACCGCTTCGCCCCCAGCGACTCGCAGCGGAGATGACTTCCCGTTCGCCCTCACCGCCGAAATCCCCCTACACTGCCCCCCGATGCTTGGCTTAGCCACCGGCGACACAGATCTCCTTCCAGATCTCTCCCCCGGGTCTCGCCACAAAGAATTTACGCGGCTCTTCGGAGCCGTTGACGCATTCCTCGCCGAGTACATTTTCCCTCCGCCACCGCCGCCTTCCCTGTGCCTGGTAGGTGACGGCGATGATCTACCGCTGCGACATCCAACGACGGCGACCGAGCCTGGCATCCTCTCCCTAGGATGTCGCCGGAGGAGCTCGATCTCTTCCGCTGAAACTTCGCTAGAGACGCTGGCACATGCCGCTCCTCCCCGGTAACCTCGGTGACAGATGTAGAAACAGAGAAGCTCTCACTGGTGCTGCCCACCTCCGAAGTCCCCTCCGATCTGTCATCCCTGCCGATTTCGTTGCCCCCTTCCTTCTTGATTCCAATATCATCCACTTTGGACGGCCGAGACGCTTTCAGCCTCGGAGTTTCGGAGAGCACTTCTTTCACTGCCTCCTCCTGCGGCGCCTCCGGCTCCGGCGGAGGATCTCGGCAACCTTGTGCGAATCCCGACGGCAGATGCCGTCTGACTTTACTCCTACTGAAGCACGCACCCATCCTTAAATGCAGCAACCGACCGAAAAGCTCTGCGGCGACCCCGCTCCTAAAAAAATAAGCTCTCCGACGACATGTGACTGCTACTGCTTAGCCATCTTTCTAGCTGATTACCTGGAAAGTCAAAAGGCAACGGGAGACGCAAATGATTTAGAGTTCTGGCGCGGATAAATTATAAATTTTTAGCAAAAGATTAACGCTGCCTTGGAAGAGTTCTTGAGCGATGGAATAAATTCAGCTGTTAATTATTTTTGTAATATTTGAACTTATGAGTTTTTTAGAATTTTGAATGTAATTTTTATTTTAATATATGAGTGATTATACCTGAAATAATTAACTTACAAATAGCACATCACAACAATATCAAAAATATATTTTTTTCATAAACAATTATATTACAACCACTACACAACTGAGCTAAACAAATAGACACAAGTAGTTGTTTCCTCATATAGGTGTCTTCTTCAAATAGTTGAAATTACACCAAATAGACCACTAGTATATCTTATAAGTGATAGTGTTCATCAAATACTCAAGCATTTCTTCTCTTCCATATTTGTAAACTATATATCTACATCATGAACTCACACTACAAAATTGGATTAAATTCAAATTATGATGTTATCAAAAAAAGACTAACTGATGCAGCACATCATCAAAATGAAGCCAAAGGGCCACCTAAAAGAGCCCAAATAAGTACCCAATTAAGAGCCCATTCAAGGCCCATCACAAGAGCTCTAATATAAAAAAATATATATATTTAAATTTATATTTTATTATTTATATTTCACCCCACACCAAAAATAGTGCCGACAGGCATTTATGAATGGTCATAAGAAAATCAATGAAAAAGATGGTTAGCACATTTCTTTATTAATGGTCACCTACCACCTGTCTAGTTTCTTTCTCCTTTTATTGAATTTTTATCATTGTAATCCCTATAAATATACTTGATATGTAAAACTTCATATCGGTTGTTAAATTAAATATTTGAGTGAGAATTTTCTCTCATATTGATTAGTTCTTGGTGACTTCAAGTGTTGTCTTTTCTTTGGCGAGATTAGGCATTTATCCTTATTTTTCATTTAAGTTATCTCGATGACTTGAAGTGTTGTCCTAGGCTATGGGAAGTTATAAACAGTCCTGTAGCACTCAAGCATACGCCGACATATATGACATACAAAAGTGATGCCAACAGGTACCGTTAGTAAAATATATCTAGAGCCTCCATTACTTTAAGAAAGTCCAATGTGGCCCATAACTAATACAAATGTATATATTGAGCAAATGCTCTCTCGATCAAATTTCAAGCCATCCTACATAACAACATAAACCTCTCTGTTGTCTTAGATTTCAATGTACCATCAATGTTAGTCTAGCCAATCAACAACACTCTTCCTTTGATCATCAAAATGCTAGAATCTGCTTCTATTGACTTCATTTTAAATTTGGGTACCTGTTAGAACTATCATGTGACTCTCTTTGATCAGTGTTACTCCATGTGGTGCCAACATATCATTTACACCATACATTTCTAAATAGCAGCTTCAACAGTGCAAAATTTTGCAATGTGTATCAATATCTAATTGACATATGATTGCCAAATAACTTGAAAAACATTAAAAATTATAAAATTTAAGTGAATAAACAGATATGTACATCAACTTATCAAGCTCATTTTCATTTACTGCAATGTTGTGTGTTAGTCGCTCACAAATATAATTTTATCCACTTGTAAGTAATTTAATTATTAGTTTCCACTAGCTTAAAAATTTTGTTAAATATTGTTTGAAATGAGTTATGGAAGATATACCTAAACCAAATGCTTCCTTAACACCTCTGAATCTATCTAGATGATTGCAAACTTGGGTGAGAAGAAGGACAAACTTTTCCCATCTTAGTGATATGCTCACCAACTTTTCGAGGAGTGTTCCTAGATGTAGCCATAATCTTATTGGGCACTCTCTCTCCTTCAAAACTTTCTCTTTAGCATAGAGCCGGACTTTGGTTCCTGCTCTATTATTGGCACTTGCTTGACATCCTCATTACACGCCTCAGTGGGAACCACCACTTCCTCAACTCCTTCATTATGCGAATAAAAAATAATACTTATTTGATGATTCAAGACTCGACTCCTCATTATCAATGATAAAAATGGAGGAGGTGGGGGTTATTTTGGAGTCTTCCTCATCACTTTGACCCTTCACCTACTCCTCTCTCATGTTACTTCTTTAATTATGCAACCACAGTCTTGTCAAAGAATGGGCCTTCAATAAGAGGAACTACAAAACATAAAGGAAAATGCATTAGAAATATATTAAAAGATAGAATAATCCAAAATGTTAGTTGAACACACTTCCAAACATCTTCTATAGAAAGTCATGGCTAATGGCATTCAGGATTCAAAGTTTTAGCCCTTTTAGTCTGTCAATGGAGATTTAAATCTTTTTTTGAGACAATTCATAGTCTAAGGGGAGATTAGACTTCCATCCCTAAACTTGAAAAAATAATAATACACATTGTCATAATCATGCACTCCAGTCAAACCATCCTAGTATGGTAGGAGAAGAACATCACAAAAATAGTATTTGAATATCTTGGTCATGAACAAGTATATGAACAAATTCATCGAGCAAGGAACTTTTTTTTTTCCACTTATAGAGTAAAACCGTCTTGATGTTCTCAAAAGTACCTAGAATCACCTTCGTGAGCACTAAAAAATACAAATTAAAGATCTATATCAACTTACAGTAGAGGGATTCTAGATAGAATTAGTTCTGATAATAGCACAAGCCATCCAGGAAGACAAAGATTAGGTACTCGCCCTCTCATCACTCAAAGAGCATTCCACGAAATTGCATTTTATCTATAATAGATTTAAGTTTTGCCTTGTAGCTTGGATGGACTTATTATCACTCTATTTAGTGAGATGTTTTTACACTAAGTGAGAGGAGTCATTGAAGAAAGATGTTGGAGGTTATCAAAAGAAAAGAGACAAAAGGGAATCTCAGAAGCCAAAGGGCACTAGAAAATATCATACATTGTTAGCACCTACCTATTTTTAAAGGCAGAGATATTAGGTAATTGAGATGAGACTCTCCGCTTTAATGGTGCTTATTTTAAATTATTTGATTCAAATTTTAAATGAATTTTCAAATAATTGATTTTTATTTTAAAAATTTTATTCATCATTACAAATGCAATCCAATAATTTCAAACATTTCACATTTCATATCAAAATAGACCTCAAAAAATTATTTAATAAAGGTAACAAATTTATTTTTATTTATATAAGGATTAAGTACAACAATTACATAGAAGGGCCCGATCATGGTCCTTGGAAGGGAAAAAAAACATTCATAAAGGCTAGAAATCAAGGTTTATAGAAACCTTGTTAAATTTAAAACATATCTCCACTAAAACTATTTATTAGTAAAAAATTAAAATAGTAGTATATTGGGAAGCCTCCACATTCTTTTCACTGAACACTGTAAAAACTATAAAAACATATCTCCACTAAAACTATTTTATTTTTATTGGTAAAAAATATCAACATGAAAATACATTTAGTACTAACAATTTGTGTTTCCATAGTTCATCGCAAGAGAGAAATTATTTTAAATCATTGAACTCACTATTCATGAGTTGTGGAGCCAACAATGGAGGTCCACCTGAGTTCACATCGGAGCATTGACATCCCACTTGTCTTTAATTCTCATATTCTTCCTCTTCTTCCTCTTTGAAAGATCCTTTGCTTCACCATATATTTTCTTAAATATTTAGGCCACTATTGTAATGACTGCTAATGTAGTATATCAGTGAACACAACAGGAAAGTGTTATAACCAACAACAAAATGAACGACTTAAATTTTCATCAATAAAAATGTCATATTTTCTGACGATTTTACGACGGCTTATGTGTTGAGTTATTTTCAATGGCATAACAACCAGACATACCATCGTTTATGAACAGTATATTAGTTTCTGAGAAAAAATTGTTATTATTATAACCAACACATTCACCTCATTTATAAGCACATAAAAACCAATGGTCATATGTCATTGGTTATTTACGAACCCGGCATTTAGCGGGGCATTAATCGATGAGCTTTTGTAGTAACCGACAGTCACTACAGCCGGTGTTAATATTAATAGCCTACGGAGTTAAAGTCGTTTGTAAGCTATTGGAAAGAATTCTTTATGCCGCCAAAATTCACTATGCCCCCGAACGTGCCGTAATCTTTGATCCCTCTCTATCTCTCCCTCTCCCTCGTGCCCTAACCCTCCCCTCTTCTCTCCCGGTGACTTTAGCGCCCCTGTGACCGCAGTCTCTACTCAACATAAGTCTTACATTTCTCTAAAACAAAACATGTGAGTAAAGCAATGACGAGCAAATACACCTCAGTAGGCTACTCAAAATCTACGGTAATTTTTAATATTAAAAATATACATATGTTCAAAGAAAATAAATTAAACATTGTAAAAAATCATGTATAATATATATCACAGTGCCAAAACAAGAAATTATAATTGTGGTTGACATGTGTTGAGTAACAATATAAGAAATATGATATCATAAGTGCAGGAAAATAAAATAAAAATAAATTTTCATATATAACTCATTTATTTATATTCATCTATGTCCCTAATAACTCTTCTTCCACTTATACCTCAACTTGTTAACATCTGTTTAGGCATATCAAATGCACAAATGGATAATTACATGGGTGCACATTCTCTTACCTCAACTTGTTAACATCTGTTTAGGCATATCAAATAACATTCTCTTTTAACTCTACTTGATAGCACATAACATACAGCCGCTCAACAACAACCAACTGCAACTCTTCTATTTTTATCTTTTTTTGCACATATTTATGATACAAAAGCATATAAATGCTCACAATTTTGATATATCAAATATCACAACATGATACAAAAAATGGCACATACTAATAAATGCAAGCAATAATGTAATTTGTAAGAGAAATAAATCTACACAAGTTGACAAACAAAATCTACGAAACCACTTAAATGATATTCAAGCATTTCTTATTCTATAACAAATTTTATCAAGTTTAGCATATGTGTCGAAATATACAAAATATTATAGACTACTTTCGCTAGGGAGAATGTTGACTCTGTAAAGATCAACAACTATTTGGACAACACTCCGTGAGTTGTGGTCACATCCAAATATGGTAGGAGTGCAAATATGGAGAAGATCATGCTCGCTTAGACTCTCTGAGATTCTAGCAAGCAGGCTTACATGCATGGAAAGAGGGTTTTAGAGGTTAATCCAAGGCATCCATTGTAAAGGAACTAAGGGATAGAGTTGTTATAGATCTTGAGGTAATGCAACTGATTCCTTTTAATTAATCTAGCACATTTTGAAGTAGAAAATAGTAACTAAATGTTTTTTTTTTGTTTTCTTACGTATATTTTTAGGATTTGATTTAGTGAAACCTGATTGGAGCCAAAGTTTACTGAGAAAAGTGATAAAATGGTCTCCCAATTTTTTAAAGGAGCCACTTTAGTCCCATAATTTAGAAAAGTGTCAATTTAGTCATTAAGGCTTATTTAGTATGGAGCTAACATAATCCTCAAATTATTTAAGAGGACTATTTTAGCCACTTTTTAAATAAGTCTGGCATTAATTTGACATTTTTATAGACTCTTGGACTAAAATAACACTTTATGGAAGAGTTAAACATGAGTTGTAAATAGCACCGCATAAGAAGTTAAAAATGAGTTGATTTCACGAGCGATAGTTTTCTAAATAGAAGAAAAAGAATTATAAATTAGTTTATTATATTTGTAAATAATGATGTAAGAATATATATGGATTCAAGGTTATTTGAGAAACTTTTTCTTGTTCTACAATAAATTTCATTCTACAACAGATTTTATCAAATTTTATTCTACAACAAATTTTATACAGGATACCACTTATATGATATTCAAGTATTTCTTACTCTACAACAAATTTTATAAGGTTTAGCATATGTTTCAAAATATACAAAATATTATATGCAACAAAATATCTGGTGATAAATAAATATTTTTTTTGTCAATTTGTCCAACATAATCTAATCTACATCATATAAAAAATTTCACTGTGAAAAATTTCAATAAATAAAATATCAAAATTTGAGTTAAAAAATAATGAAGTTAAAATATAAATTAAATTAATAGTAACTTATCTAGAGCCGAAAATTTTCTTCAACTAGCTCACGCACAAAATCGACTCTAAGGCCCCCAAATTAAGTCTCTCACTATAAACTATCTTTTTATCTCTCTAAAGTCAGGGATTGGAGAATGAAAAGAAACAAAAATGCATAAGTGGCTTGGGATATTTACGCTAAATTATCCTAATAAATATTTTTTTATTAATTAAAGGACATAATGGACATTATTTAATTTGTTAGGTTTATTAAACATAACCATTATATAAATCTTCTAACATCTTAAAATATGTGAATTAAAAAATTATGAAAAAATAGTTAATAACGATTTGCAAAACGGAAATTAGATAAATTTATAAGCTTGACAAACCAACTTAATCATTGTCTCATCCCATCACACAAATTGAGGGTGTTACAGTATCATTTAAGATGCATGACGTTACAACTCCGCAAGCATTGTAAGATAAACCTAGGTAACATGTGTCATCATCTATTTTTATAATTTTAATTGCAGGGTTGATATGGTAAACATTTGTGGATGTTAACACTAATATACAGTCTAGTAAAGAGGCGGTGGTTGACATCCTGGCGGGGCGCATCTTCCCATCCATGAAGGCTGGCTCATTAATAAGATTAGGTAAGGATGCATCTGCTAACGGTTAACTGAGATGTCCGCAAAGCGCTGTTCACATGAGTGACCACTGAGACCCCCATCTTTCCACGTGGTACCTATCCCACGGTAGCTCTCCCACATAATTCATAAATATTTCCTCCTCCTCCTCCTCCTCCTCCTCCTCCTCCTCCCTCGCGTTCTGCTGCAACACAAACAAAACGGAAATCATGGTCTTCTTCTGCTTCCTGGTGGACACGAGGGAGATGGTCAGGTCCTCCAAGCCCGCCGCGGGGATCTGCTCCAGATGCGGCGGCGGGGCCAGCGTCGCCGACATCGAGACCGCTACCAGGTTCTGCTACGTGCCGCTCTACCGGAAGATGTGGCGTGCCATCATTTGCACTTTCTGTGGCGCCCGCCTCAAGTCCTACTACCACCGTCGTCTTCGCCGACCTTAATAAGCCTCCTTCCCCCAGCTGCTCCGGCGACCCGACTCCATCCCACTTTCCATCTTCATTATTTTTATTTATTTTAACGGCGTCAATCTATAACTATAATTTTTTTATTTGTACCGAGTTCTGAAACTGTAATTTTTTTATTTGATATAATATAATAAAACAGCATCGATTAGAACTTATCCCAGAACGCGCGGATTCAAGTTTTATAGTTATTATTTCTTCTTCTTAATGCGAGCAGAAGAAATGATTTTTTTTTTTTTTTTTTTTGGCGACAAGAAACTAAACTTGTATGATTAAAAATAATTACTAATGATAGTATATTAATGTAATTTTATTGTATATTCGCGGTAACAGCTACTTAGCAGAGTCTATGCGATCGATGTCAGATGTATAGCTCTTGTTGGTCTCATGTTCTAAATTTCCCGTAAATAATTTTCTTATGCATTGCTCGATTTAAATTTTTCTTATTGCTGTTTGGCTCATATTATATTACATTTGAAATCGTGTAAATGTAGGATAGTGAATTTGAACCTGTGCGATTTTTATGCAGTACAAAACACAAAATCGCATATCATGTTCCACTTGCTTATTCAAACAAAAGCTAATAAATGGGCCAAATAAATAGTCTTTTTTGGCATCCTAGCTACATCTGTCTTTACAATTAGTTAATATTGAAATTATTATTTAAAGTATTTTGAAGTTTTGATTATCATTTAACTTTCTTTCTTCTAGAAAAGTATCAGATTATGTTCTAATCAATTTGACTGTTGAAATGCTCATTCTTATAAATAAAGAAAAATATTAAAAAACAGCCCCAAAAAAAATCTAACAAAAATAATATGAGCAATCCTATAAAAAAAAGTTGTGAAAAGAAAAAAAACAGAATAAGTTCAGAGAGAGAGAGAGAGAGAGAGTCGAATTAGAGGTCCGCAACGTGCTGGCCAACAGCTGTCTCCAACCTGCTTCGGTCACGGGAAGCCTTCTGATCTAACGGCGCGATATGAATTTCGTAAAATTGGACGGCAATGATAAAAAAAGATAAACTGTCTAAAATCTGATACCCGCGAAAGAAAAGATATAATAAATGCGGCAACGGTGTTAATGGGGCCCGCTGTTTGACGAGCAAAGTGAAAGGCATTAAGTTTTGGAATAAAAGATGTTGATAAATTGTTGAAGCAATTTACTCGCATTTATTGTTCTTACTTTAATTAAGGACTATAATGTGCAGCGCGTCAATGAGCATGAACTGGTACCCTATATGTTGTTTTGTCTCATTGTCAATGTTCATTAAATGTAGCTCGTGCCCATTTCAATTTAGCATATTTTAATACTTCCCCTTCTATATTCAAGTCAGTCAGTTTTTTTATAAATATTAATAACAAACATCATGCTTTTTTATATATAAATAAACTAGCATAGTGTTTCAGTATTCTAAACAATTAAATTAAATTATGAGAAAAACATCAAGTCTTTTTAACAAATATCATGATTTTCATAAATCAAAATCAAATTATAACAAATATCATGCTTTTTAAATAAATCCCTCTCACTAAATGGTTTTAAATAAAATTATGATGAGAAAAAAAATAAATCTTTTGAAATAAATATTCCTGATGTCTATAAAATTAAAACAATTAAATTATGAGAAAAAAAATAAATTCTTAAAACATTCTGAGCATTTGATTAATATAACTCGAAATATCTAGACAGAATTTTTCAAAAAATTAAATTTTCTTGGAAAAAAAAACATGACTACCATGCGTAATGATCACAGACAGACTCGACTCAGAACCAAGCCACCAAATGGCCTAAATCCAATTGAATGTAGCCCTGTTCCAATAAATTCAAACAGCATAGTATTTCTCAAGAATAAAAACGCATTTACTTACTGTCCACGGAACACATAAAAATTCTGCATCAAAATAATAGAGGCTCCACTGAAGAATGCTGCGATATAATATATTTAATTTACAATATTTCAGTGCTGCTTTGAAGGAACTGAAAACTAAAGTGTTCTTTTACAGAACACGGATAAAATAATAAGGAAACGTCAAATTACGAAAATTTCTGCGTGCGTGCAGACATGTTCAGAACTGAATTTTCATTTTCTTCAAGCTCTTTGTTCAACATAAGAACCAGAAATTCCAGAGGTCCCAAGAAGAGTAACCTGCAGATGCTTGACGTTTCGATGAGTTAGATGTGTCTATATCGAGCGAAATATTAATGTTACTGTATACAGAATAGTATTGTATGTTGTATGCTGCTGTAATGTGACCTTATAATTCATCGTTGATATTTGGTAACTTGAATATTATTCTAAATGTGCAAAATTAATGAAACCTTCATGGAGGAATAATTAGACAGCTATAAATTCACCAATAAACACCATTGATCATGTTCTAAACTAAAAGATCAGCCTCACAACAAATCATCAGTTTTTATCACCTCTAGCCAATAGCTGAACAGATGCAGTAATCCCAAAAGTATATATTTTTCACTATGTCCATAATCAGTAAGAGAAGGCCTTCACAATCAAAAAAAGAAACTCTGGCCCTCACCATATTTATGCAAAGATGCATATATATTTACGAAGGCTAGTATTCCATTAACAAGCACATATTAAACCGTTGCAAATCATGTTCAACAGATCCAACTCTACAAATGTGCAAGTTAATATGCCAGAGACGGATCATCACTAAGTCGCCCACATCAAAAATGTCTCTGATGTGCATCCATCTTTTGTTTATACCTCTACTTCTTGTTGTTAATCTTTAGCCCTCACATCTTGTAGCATTTAATCAAATTCACTTGGGACTTTGGCAGCTTGCGAACTCTTCGTCTGCGCTAATAAATCTACATCTACAGTATGATGCCGCTCTTTAGTATATACAATGTTGAAGGGCAACTTATCAGCAGTTATGTTCACCATGGAATTGAAAGCATACTCGGCTTGACACCCAAACATGTCATTCCACTATTTTGGCACCATATCATGTTTCCCAATGTACAATCCACCACTTTAGTTTGGCCATCAGAGTGTGGTGGTAAGCCAAACTAAATTTAAGTTTCATTTTCAACCGTTTTCAAAACTCCCGCCAAAAACAACTAATGCAGTTCACATCTCGATCAAAAGTTAGACTACTAGGAATGCCATAGTCTCACTATTTCTTAAAATAAACAAATTAAAAAAAAAGCTTAGCAACATTAAAAGAATCAAAAGTCATTTTGCACGCAACAAAGTGTCATTTTTGAAAATCTGTCTACTAACATGACAGAATAGAACCATTTTATTGTATTTGGCAGGCCCAATATAGAATATAAACTTGGATCCTCGTAAATTGAGTCAAGAACAACTGAAGGAATATAGAGCCTGGCATTTTGGGTGGTTCCTTCGAAAATGACACACATCTCATCCTAGTCTAGGCTAACAAAAACTAGATAGGACAAGAGCTATAGTTTTATCTTTTTCTACATGTGCTGCCAAAATTCCACCAGTAGATCCTTAATAAACTACTGTTGAAGAGAGGTGTTGGTAATCCACGGCTGGCTATCTTTAAAAGGAACCCACAGTTGATAGCAAAGATCTCCTGAAGCCAAGTGAGTATGAAGCACTGAGACCATGCCTGGGCGAAATACACATCAACTACGTACGCTCTTGTAGGGTTTTGAGCCCTATTATAGTAGACTGAATAGCAGTTAGAAGGATTACGCGCCCGCTTAATGCGTCAGTTGAGAGATTGAATCAGCAAAGGCAGAACAAATCAGGGAAATCATGTTAAGGTAGCTGGTAAGGTAAAGGATAGCCTCAAGTTCCATAAATATCAGAAGACTTCTTCAATGTTCTAAAGTTGTACTGTCCATGCTATGAGATTGTTGCCGATGAAGGTGCAAAATCCAGAAGTTGAACGTCGATCTGTTGAGTCACCGGCCCAGTCAAAGTCGGAGTAGCTTGTGAGTTGGAGATCGCCCCGAATGAAAGGGAAACCAAAGTTGAGTGCACCTTGAAGATATCGAAGGAGACGTTTGACGACTTGAAAAGGTTGGTGCATTTGTTGGCATAGATAGTTCACAGCAAAAGCAATGTCGGTCTAGTTATGGTCAAGTATTGGAGTGATCCAGCAATGCGACAAAATGATATGGTAGGTAATAAGAGTTGGGTACAGTAACTTAATGTAAGGTAAGATAATAATAGAGGAAAATGGAGAAACGGTTTTTGTCCTACGGTGAGATACTGCAATGGTGGAGAACAATCCATAGCATGTGAAATAATATGGGTTTATTATGCCCCCTCAAACTAACAATCTGGTGGAACAATTGTGAGTTTGCTTCGAAGTCGATGAAACTGAGCTAAAGGATGGTTTTTGGTGAAAATATCTGTTATTTGGTCTTGAGAATTTATATGAGAGATCTGAATTTCACCGGAGGATGTGGTCACGTAAAAAATGATGGTCAATTTCATCATGCTTGGTAAGAGCATGGAAAATTGGGTTGAGAGATATGGCAATTGGAGGTGTTGTCACAGTAGATGGGTGTTGGTGTGGTGAGTGAGACTTGAAATTCGTGAACAAGTCGACGAAGCCATAGAATGCTTGTAGTTGCTGCAACGAGAGCCCTGTATTCCGCTTTGGTTGATGAGCGAGCAACAGTTTTCTAAATTTGTATTGTCCATGCTATGAGATTGTTGCCGATGAAGGTGCAGAATCCAGAAGTTGAGCGTCGATCTGTTGAGTCACCGGCCCAGTAGAAGTTGGAGTAGCTTGAGTTGGTGATCACCCCGAATGAAAGGGAGACCAAAGTTGAGTGTACCTTGAAGATATCGAATGAGACGTTTGAGGACTTGAAAAGGTTTGTGCATGTGTTGGCATAGGTAGTTCGCAGCAAAAGCAATGTCGGTCTAGTTATGGTCAAGTATTGGAGGGATCCTGCAACGCAGCAAAATTGAGTTGGGTTGGAATATGGTTGGAGGTTGCATCTGGTTGAAGTTTGAGTGGTGGGGTGTGCAGACGGGTTTCCAGGTAAGTGTCTATTTGTTGATAAATGGAAGTGATGTAGGAGGTTTCGGTAAGATGGTAGCCATTGGGTGTGTTCTGTGTGGTTATGCAGAGGAAGTTGTTGGTGGGTCCAAAGACTTTGAGGTTGAATTCTGATTTGACAAGAGAGATTAGTTTAATTCAATTGGATTGTTACCTGTGAGTAGTATGTCGTCGCCGTAGACAATAAAATAGATGGTGCTTGACTCGTTTTTGTAGATGAGGAAGGAGGGGTTGGTGGTGCTTACAATGAGCTGACTGTCTTTGAGATAGTTAATGAGTGTGTTGTATCACTATCTGGGCGCTTGTTTGGCAAAGAGGTTGAAGGTGGTGGTGTAGTCAATTCCCTAGAGTAGCTTGAATCCTTGAGCGACTAGGCATGCTTTATGCTTAGATACGGTGCCATCTGCGTTGTATTTGGTTTGAAAAGTCCACTTGCAACCAATAAGGTGTTGGTGAGGTGGTGGGTCAACCAATATCCACGTGTTTTGCTATTGGAGGGCTTGAAATTCAAGGGATGTTGCTTGTCGCCAGTGTCAATGCTTAGCCGCCTGAGTATAGGATGTAGGGTCTGGGGTTTGATTAACCGTGGTATGAAGGTTGAGAGGTCGTTTGGGTTTGAGCGATCCAGTTTTGAATCTAGGAGTCATTGGATGTGTTCATATGGAAAGTAAAGGGGTGGAACCAATATCTGTTGTAGGTGTGGGTTCGGAATTGTTTCGAGCAGGTAATTGAGCCCTAGGGAGTGAAGGGGAGGAAGTGATTTCGGTAGGATGGTTGGTGTGCTGTTGTTGGGTGTGAAAGTAGTGGGAGTAAGTAGTTTGGGAGAGATGGTTTTGAATGATATAGGCGATGAAGTAAAAGTCGGTGCAGGAGTGGATTAGGGAAAATTTTGATGGTTGAAGGTGACATGACGAGAGACTAGGACTCGATTAATTTTTTTTTAGGTTGTAGCAATAGTATCCTTTGTGAGAGGTGGAATACCCAAGAAGATGCAATGGGGAGCTGTGGGGGCGAGTTTGTGTGGTGCTTGTGGTTTTCTCCATGGGAAGCATATAGGTAGCCAAAGATGCGTAGATGAGAGTACGATGGTGTGGTGCAATATAGGAGCTTGTAGGGAGATTTGAGAGAGGTAGTTTTGGAGGGCATCCCGTTGATAAGGTAAGCAGCGGTCATGAGGGTAACAGACCAAAGTTTTGGGGGCAAGTGAGACGTGAGAAGTAGGGTTCTTGTGGTTTCAATGAGGTGACAATATTTGCATTCTGCGACCCCATTCTACTGAGGCATGTAAGGACAACTGAATTGGTGGATGATGTCGTTATGGCAAGGCAGTTTTGCAGAGTATGAGATGTGAATTTTCCCCCTCTATCGGTTCGGAGGATTTTGATGGATTTATGAAATTGATTGAGAACTAATTTGTGAAATGATATAAGTTTACAGAAAAGTAAAGAAGTAGGTATTGGTGTTGTAGTTGTCCGAGAGATAACTTTGATGGTGGCTTGATTGGGAAGAACTAGGCGGCGGTGCCAAATTTCAGTAGATGAGATGCGGTTGGAAGCGATGAAGGTGGAGATGGGATAGAGGTTGTCTTTGCTAGGTTCTTGAAGCAAGGTTTTGTTTGTCTCCTAGTCCTTAATAACAAAACCCAATTTTTTAAAAGTTATGTCGCAATTGTTGTCAAATGTAAGTTTGTAAACATAGAAGATTTCAGGCGAGTTGGGGAGAATGTAGTAGTTAAGGGAGTTGGATCTTACGTTTAGGAGTTGGTAAGATACCTTTGCCGGAGTGAGTGATGGGGAGAGTCGAACCGTCACCATAGACTGAGTTGGAGACAATGTATGGTGTAGCAAGTTGAAGGTGGTCAAGGTTGGATGTAGGTGTGAAGTTGCACCGGAGTCGAGCAGCCATTCTTCATTTGGGGTAGCGGTGGAGGTTAAGAGAACATCATCTGTTTGAGAGGATGGATAGGCATTAAAGTTCGCCCGGTGCCAACATGTTATTGCTGCATGACTAGTCTTCCCACAAATCTGACAGATGGGGCGAGGGGTTTGATAGTTAGAGCTACGGCCACCTCTGGCGGATGGAGATCATCCACGAGAGCGAGTAGTGCCTCTAGCGTTGGGCAGTTGTTTTCCTC